GGGGTTTTTTTTTTTTTTGGCCCCCCGGTCTTTGGGGGGCGCTTTTTTTTGGAAGGGGATGTTAAGCCATGGTTTAGCGCGCCTTCCCATTCGGGTTTAACCAGGCAAAGACAGGGATGCCGCGCCTCGGGAAAAAAGGGAGGTTTTTCCCTTTTGGGTGGGTTACGTGGGGGGGCGGAGGTGGCAAAAAATTTCCCCCCCCGTTTTCGAAAACCGGAAAATGGGAGAAAAAAAAAAGGGGGAAAACCCCCCCCGGAAATGAAACGCCCCCGGTTGGTGCCGGGCCCCCCCCCAAAAAGGAGGGCCCCCCCATTTTTTTTTTGGGCCCCCGGGGGAAGCGCCCTTTTTCCCAATTTTTTTTTGTTTTGTGTGGTTTGGGGCCTTTCCCCCCGGGGAAAATTTTTCAATTTGGGGGGGGTGGGTTTTTCCCCCCCCCCCCCCCCCCCAGGGACCCCCCCCCCCCCCATGTTTGCCAACGGGGTTGGGTTTTCGGCGCTTGGCAGCGATGTTGTTAGACAAGCCGATCACTTCGTGAGCTCGGCAACCAGGTTTTCGCTTTTTTTTTTGCCTCTTTTTTTTTGGGCGGTAACCATAATGGTGGTCGAGTTGATTATGTTGTGCGGGGTCGAGAACCCTCACTCCGCGCACAGGGGATAATTGCACCACGTTGTGTAAAAATGGACAAGCACCCTCGAGGCAGTTATACAGTGCTTACAACTGTCTCTGGAAGTGAAAGCACCAGAAAATTAATTAAGTCATACACAGCTGTCATCCGCGCAAGGAACAAAAGCACCAGATGCCGAACACCCTTAGCAAGATGCAGGTCACCCTTCATGCGACTCGCCGAATACCTCACGGTGCTTCGCGCTTGGTGATGTGAGAACCTGGTCGGGTGAAAACCCGGCATGCTCCATCCGGGCTTTGTAGGGATGCGAGGTCAATAGTCTAATGACTACGGCATGCACAACCATGAGTACCGCCCCCCCCCCCCCCCCCAGTGACACCGGGGCCGATGATCCCCCCGCCTGTGAGGTTCGAGGATGGTAGGGGTTTTGAAGCGGGGCATTTTGGGAGCTTGGCGGCTTCCGGCCCAAAATTCCCCCCCCCAAAAAAGGCCACTGAACACCGAAAAACCGGGTTTTCCTTTTGGACTCCAAAGGACCCCCACCGGGACTTTTTCCCCCGTGGGAAAAAAACCGGGTAAGCCCCCAAGGTTTCCCACAA